CCCACTTTTCAATCCCAATGGTAACTTGGCAGTGAAACCCCATTATTTCCCTGGTGAGATGGTGTCTGATTAAGGTCCCAAGCTGGTCTGGGTTAGGCAGGGGTGCCTTCCTGAGAGCTCTCCCTCTTCAGTGATCCTGTTATCCACACCCTGAGCAATCTCCAGTAATTACCTGTCCCTCAGGAATGGAGAGCTCCACTGTGTTGTAGTCCAGCTCCCCCACGTACATGGTGTTAACAAACACCTGCAGAACAGAGCACAAGAGACCAGAGCAGCTGTTTGTCAATTATATCAATTATATCATTATGTATTAATCACTCAAGGTGTGTTTGGGGAGGAAATTTGCTCTACTTGAAACTGGAAATTAAGTGTCCATCGCTGTGTCACTGATTCAGTTCAGGTGGGAATGAAAAAAAAATCACAGTATTTCTCAGAATACACAGCATCCTGATGTTTAAAGATATTTTAAGTTTCAGAGAAATCAAGTGTCCATCATTGTGTCACTGATTCAATTCAGGTGGCAATAAAAAAATCACAATATTTCTCAGAACATTCAACATTCCGATGTTTAAAGGTATTTTAGGTTTAGAGAAATCAAGTGTCCATCACTGTATCACTGGTTCAGTTCAGGTGGCAATAAAAAAAACAAATAGTATATTTCTCAGAATATACAACATCCTGATATTTAAAGATATATTAAGTTTTAGCAGATTGAAACTGGAAATTTAATTAGAAATCAATAGCTTTGAGGTTCAGCTGAGAACTGGAAAGGGTGAATCACACTCCTCATCTAAACCTTTGTGTTTTCCCCCATTTCCTGCCTCCTGAGAGCCCCCACCTGTGCCCGGTCCCGGACGTGGTCCTGGGTGTGCAGCTGGCCACCCCCAAAGATGACAGTCTCATAGAGCACATATCCATAGGGCTGCCCAATGCTGTCGTTCAGGGGCAGGTTCTCCATGTTCACAGGGAGCTCTGACTTGATGGGCTGCACAGGAAGAGAAAATTCAGCATCAGCAGTGGCCTCTCACACTGACAGACCATGCAGAGGCAGCTCCTTTAGGGTAGGGGCTCCACTTTCCCTCCTGAGCTTCCCCAGATCTGCTCCAACCCAAATCCCCTCCTGACCCTAAGAAAGCTACACCAAAGTCCCAGAAAAAAGAGCCAAAGACTTGCAAACCTGCAATTCCAAGAGAACAGTTTAATCTGCACAAACAGGGTACAGTTGTGGCTCTGGTAAGAAGGCTGGCAAATTTTGTGCAGCAGGGACTACAATAACTTGAATTTTCTCTGTGGAAAAGCATTCAAACCCCACATTTCAATGTGGAACAGTTGAGAGAAAAGATTCGCTGCCTTTGCATATACTTGACAAAAAAAATCCCCCAACCTCATCCTGGTGGGGTAACAAGGCAAAGCACAAATTGCCTTTTGCACTTAAGAGGTGATGCCTTTGAGGTCTGGGATGCATTAAAGGAGGTGTCAGTACCTGTAAAAGGGTTGGCAACACATCCCAGAGAGAGATGTACTGATGCAGGAGGATGGCACCATAGGATGCTTTGCTTTCAATCATGGGAGGCAGAGGAAGGGGCTGGCCTGGCATGCAAAGAGAAACAGGAAAAATTATTTCAGACCCTCCAGACCTCCTTTGGTCCTCCCACCCTTAATTACCAACCAGGCAGAGCCCCAGGGATCCAGCAGAAGGGTCAGTTTAAACAATTCCCT